CAAAATTGTGTTTCGACACAGCGTTTACATGAACGTCTTCACTGAAGTTATGACTGTGTTGCTGCACCACAATATTTCCAGTAATCAAGAAAGACGGGATTCTGTAGTGTTTCAGAGCATGGTGACTTTTCCTTAGAGAACAAGTGGTGTCACTGTGACTAGAGGAGTTACATTCTTGTGTATTAGTTCCAGAGCAATACTGGAAGTATTGTGGTGCAGCAACACAGTCATAACTTCAGTGAAGACGTTCATGTAAACGCTGTGTCGAAACACAATTTTGGTTTTTCTTGTCATCCTATCGGTAATATACAGAAGTCTCTCAACCCCAATCAAGAAACTAATGGACATATTGAACCATGTACTCTTCACAACATTGTATAATATCCTTTCTTTCCTCAGTCTAAAACATCATCTTCAGGCTTCTTTTCAAGTATGATCCTATGACTAGCGTGCCAGACTGTAGATCTGCTGGTCTATCATCTTATTCCAGTTACAACAAAATAAATAACTAAAATTGCACTCTGCATTTTGGGGTTGTGTGTGCATTATGAGGATGACAGTCAAATTCCATTATTTAATTAGATACGACTAGCCCAAATGTTGGCGCTAAATGCTGTTGACTAGGTGCCTTCCCTCTAATTTATCATTTGAAATTTAGGAACGGCTAGCGAGAAAAGCCCTTAGCGCGAATATCTGAAAACAAAAACAACACAAATCTAACGTTGGTGGATCTGATGAACTCTTCATTCGTATCCCATTTTTCTCTTTGATACTGGGCACACACATATCTCTTGTGAGGTACATATGATACAAATAATTGGAAGAGAATTTCTTCCACCTACAAACAATTATTTTTCATGATTGTTTGTTTGTTTGAATTTCGCGCAAAGCTACACGAGGGCTATCTGCGCTAGCCGTCCCTAATTTAGCAGTGTAAGACTAGAGGGAAGACAGTTAGTCATCACCACCCACAGCCAACTCTTGGGCTACTCTTTTACCAACGAATAGTGGGATTGACCGTAACCTTATAACGCCCCCACGGCTGAACGGGCGAGCATGTTTGGTGGGACGGGGATTCGAACCCGCAACTTGCAGATTGCGAGTCGAGTTCCCTAACCACCTGGCCATGCTAGGCCTTTTCATGATTGATACATCCGTTATCAAGACACCATCCATTTCAGCTGTATATCTAAAACCTAGTCTCTCTGTAAATAACAACACACTTCATTCTCCACCACCATCAACTACAAAAAAGATAATCTGTTCACCTTGGAGGAAACTAGACATCTCAAAATGATGAGACTCCTAGTGGCTTAGTGGTAAGTTTCAAAGCTTATAACTGAATTTTGATACCCGTGGTGGGCTCAGCACAATAGTCCATTGTGTAGCTTTGTGCTTAAAAACAAACAAACAAAATGATGAACTAGAAAAAATCAAGACAGAAAGAGAAGTGTGATGAAAATAAAGAAATTTGTGGCTGTGTGATCATCGTGTGCGTGTTTTATACTTCGTTTTTACATGTTTTAGTGTTCCAAAATGTTTATACCATGAAATTATTATCAGCAAAGGTAGAAAATATAAATCATTTATACACACAAAAAAAAAAAAATCAATAGTGTTTACGTGCAAAATGGTATCTTGCTTTTTAAAGATATATATGTAGAAGAATCCTATTCAAGAGTCCTTAAATCTGAAGTTCGTAAATCAAATAGATGTGAGCAGAATGTAAATAGATATAAACAGAGCTTCGTACATTTTTACTTTATTTTACAGCTTGTATTGGTATTAGTATCACGTGTTGTTAAATATTTCTAAACAGAGAATTACTACTGATAACACAAAATTTGTTTCTAGTGTGAGTATTAAAAAATAAAGAGGTTATTGATTAGAACAATTCTCTTTGATTTAACTTGTTTATTGTAACGTAAATTGTAAAAAAAAAAGTGATTGAACTCATTATTGTCATAAGTTCTCCTTACATAGAAATATCATGCTGAAGTGATCGGGAATTATATTCAATCTAAATACTTGATGACCACAATTAACAAATAATGAAAGATAATAAGAGCAGTACAAAACTAGTCAGACAGTAAAAGAGACAGGCAAAGAATAAAAAACACAAATGTTAGTGATCTAATACTTTTTTATTCCTTAAATAGTAGACTTTCTTAAAATCATTTTACCATAGTGATCGATTTTACTTTAATAACAAAACGTGCCTGTTTTTTCCCAAATTAACTGTAATTTTGTTGTATGCATTTTCTCATCTAGTTGTTATTGTTTATTTGCTACTTTTATATAGATGATTTTTTTACCGTTTTCCAAATGTTTCACCAATTTCCTGAAAAATGGTCTTTTTATGTATGAAAACCAAAGAAATAACATTACGTTTGATCAGTCAATAAGTTATTTTTCAGCAAATGTAGATGAGAAACAGAAAAGCTCTTAAATATCCCGAGAATCCCTTTCTTCTTTATATAAAACAATTTTAGATGTGAAGTGGTACTCTTGTTTAACACGATATTTAAAAAATTGGGCTTGCTTATAATTTTCATTTCATACGTAGTTAACGTAGAAAGGGTATGAATATGATAGGAGTTATACTAAGAAAATGATATTAGAACGCTTCAGTTATAACACCAAAAATATTAATTTTTGAATAATCGTATGTGAGGTTAGTCAATAACTCGGATAAGCTAAAAAATATATTTTTTTTTCAGTTTGTTATTACATTGATACACTTTATTATTCACATTTGCTGTATAGAAAACTATTCCTAAATACACTAACTTATAAAAATTCACAATTTAACCCAGTAACGTTACATAAAGGTAAATATATTTCATGAGCTGTTATTCAAAAACAGATTATACATAAAACTCTCTGATAAAATTATGTTAAATATATTTTACATCTTTTGAGTGTGTTTTTTATTTACGGAGAAGTCTAAAAAATGCAAAAAGCAGAATAAAAAAACTAATAAAGAATGTAAATTTGAACTAATAAAAACATTGGAAAAGTTTGAACTCTAAAAAGTAAGAGTTCATATTACAACCGTTGTTTAGGATGTATGAAATAAATAACAGAAGTTAATATTAGGAAAAAGTAAAAAGGCTCTTGAATCATGTTTTCAGCAACAAACCAAGCTATTTAGTATTCAGTAATATTTATGATAACCATTTAAAAACATTTCAATAAAAACATACACATAACACATTTACACTATTAAAACCTCAGAACATTACATCATTTGTAACTGGTTTAGAAAAGTTAAGTAACTTTAAAGTGAATAATATAAAGTAAACGTCTATGGAATTATTATATTATTTGAGCTTATTGAAAAGGAGTTTAGGTTTTGAAAAAATTCCTTGTGTACAATTATACAATTATTTTGCTAGAGTTTGAAACAACTTGTTTGGCTTGTAAATTAAATTAACCAAAAGAAATAAATGAAATATTAACATTTTCGTCCTGATCACACGAGTCTAAAGAAACCAACATTCATTGTTCACTTGTCTAATTTATTTTGTATTTTATGCTCTACTAAAATCGAATAATGTAATAGATTTATTAAACTGGTCAAATAAATTTAACTGATGTTGATGACTTGATGTAGGTTTATAACCAAACGTTTCACCAGTATGTTTTCAAAACACAAGATTCCAATATTCTAACGATGTCATACGAACATCTAAATAACCAAAATAATATAGCAGTACCTTCTTTAAATTATAACATATATCATTCTATCATCAGAGAATTGTTATTAATATTAATCTGAAATTAAGTATTTGAAATTCTCCTCAAAACAAACAAGCAAACAATAAGTGATAAAAGTTATTTTATCGTCAGAATAATCAAAATCATAGTAAGGAAAGTCCAAACATAATTATGATAATGAAGACGCAATGATGACACTCCACCTGGTGTCGGAGACTGAGTGATTGTAGTGTTGATTTGGGGCTTCGAGGTCAAATTATTTCGTGGACAAGCTTTTTGAGAAAATAAACATGTGTCAGTACAGCAAATAATAATGCAAACTTATAATTTATATAACTGGTTTCAAAAGTTTTTCTCATCTAATTTAATATATAACACCATTTTAAAGAAATTTTACTTAATTATTATGGAGTTTTCTTTCAATTTAATGTAATGAAAAATGTAATGAAGGTTAATGAGTAGCTTTTCTTGCCTTTTGTCCGCTGTACCTTCACCACGTTAATCTCTGTAGATAAATACGTGAAATAGAAGTAACATGAGTCGTGATCAATATATTGGCAAAGGACTTCGTCATTAGTAGCTGAAACAATGATAAAATATATATTTATAAACAAGTATTACATTTCTATGAAATAATTAAGAAAATTTTAAAATCTAAACGCTTAACAATACCGCAATTTGATATAATTAAGATAACGATCATGTAACACACAGAAGTCTAAAACAAAGGGCAAAAAGGGCACGTGCCCTGCCATTTGTTTTCAGTTAGTGTACCTACATTATAGTTTACAACTATGTTAGGTTGACTTAGCTTTTTTCCCCCACCCCATCCCGCTTTCTAACATTGTTTATAGGTCTTAGAGAAAATAAATAAACGTTTCCAGCTTTTTAAGTATAAACACCATTAAACAATGTGTACTTTATCTTATTGTAGATTGTATGATAAAAATCTCAATGCCAGTGCTGCTGTTAGAATTTACAGGCCCCCACAGTGGCACAGCAGTATGTCCGGACTTACAACTCTAGAAACCGGGTTTCGATATCCGTGGTGGGCAAAGCACAGATAGCCCATTGCGTAGCTTTGTGCTTAACTACAAACAAACAAAAACAAACCTGAAGGCTTTTAACGCTAAAATCTGGGTTTCGGTATCTGTGGTGGGCAGAGCACAAATAGCTCATTGTGTAGCTTTGTGCTTAAGAACAAACAAAACAAAAGTAATCGTTCGCTTCTATGTTTTAAGAAAAATAAGTTTAATAACTTATTTCTAAATAATAATAATTTATAT